GATAGATCTTGCGTGAGCATAGGAGTTTTTTTTGAAATTGCATGCTACGTTTCCTAACACATAGGTTGAGGAAGTTTGGGCCGGCAAGGGTGAGCGGATTGGACCGGGCACACTGGTGGCGGTGGTGATAGGGAGTCATGGGTGGGGTAACCTGTAACTGCATGCATAGGTCTCGGTTTGATTTTGGGTTTTACTCACTATCTTTTTTTTGTACGAAGATATTTTTGCATGAGAGGAAGCAAGACAGAAGTCGGGATTGAGTGGGACATGCCTAGGTAAGAGTAGGTGGAACCATCGTGATGATAGCAGATCCCTTTTAATAATAGAGATGTTTGGCTCATGGAGTAACGTTTCTATGAACCTTCTTGAGCAATGAAAATTACGTTGTTTCCCTAAAAAAATCCTATTATAACTTTTTTACAAGATGAGGAAAACGTTGTTAAAATTAGGACAACGCTAACATTCATAAGTGTGGTGGGAGTCAAACCTGTCCACACGCCCTGTAACACATAGACTGTGCCACATCACTGCATGCATGCATGTGGGATTTTTTTTGAATTTTTAGTTTTTAAAATGTTTTATCTCTTAATGAAAGATCCGATTGAAGATCCGTTTTCACCATTAAATCCCTCGCGACAAGATCTTCGAAACTATCTCATATCATTATATTTTGACGAATTCTTTTTTAGGTTAAAGGTTTCCATATCTATTACATATGAATTGCCATGATGTTTACACTGAAGTTGCCATGATATGTTTTAACTATTTTCTTTTGCATTTAAAAGTAATTTTTGACATATTATAAAACGCGAAATTAAAAAACTAGACTTGTCATAAATCATAAACTAAAATTGTCATGATACATGCACTTAAATTGCCATGGTTCATACAAAAAATAATTTACATGGTCAAACTACCGGAATTGTCATCATCAAAAAACTAAAAATTGCCATGCTCTACAAACTAAAATTGTCATATGACAACTTTAGTTTAAACACTATGACAGCTACAGTATAAACATCATGACAACTTTTGGGCAAAAAAAAGTCAAAACTTTTTAACATGGGGTCTAGTTTTGAAGATCTCATCGAGACGGATTTAATGGTGAAAATGGATTTTTAATTTGATTTTTAATTAGAAGCTAAATATTTTTAAGCCGAAAATCAAAAAGATTCCTGCTGATGTCATCTGTTCATACATGGTAAAAATAAGTGGTGATAAAGACGTGTGGCGATGTGCAAAATGCCAGGACGTTAGTTTTTCGTAAAATTAAAATAAACAGAGGCCCACCTGCAGCCTCCAGAACACGGGCAACCAAAATGGCCACCTCTCCTCTTATCCTCCCCGGCGGTTCCCTCACTCCCCGGAAATGGAGGCCACCACTACACTCACGCTCTCCTCGTCCCCTGCCGCCGCGGCCCGCCGCTCGCCGACGAGGGCGACCATCTCCCACCCCCACCTCCGGCATTACCCCGTCCGCACTTCCCGCCTCAGCGTTGCCCAGAGCCTGGCCTCACGTCCCCTATCCTCGGTCCGCCCCGCTTTCTTGGTTCTTCCAACGGAATCGTAAGTGGTCGCCTTATTGTTTGTTTCGCTCACCTTCTCTCTGTTGGGAATTTAGGGTTGGAGGCGGCGCCGGAGGGGGAGCGGGCTGGTGGTGCGGGCAGAGACGTTCGGGCAGCTCACCACCGGGCTCGAGTCCGCGTGGAACAAGCTGCGTGGCGTCGGTGAGTGACCACTAGCTCTCTCCCAGCGTACTGCAGTGTACAGAAACAGATTTGATGGTCGCAATGCTCTTGTGATTTAAGATGTGCTGACGAAGGAAACCATTGTGGAGCCGATGCGGGACATCAGAAGAGCACTTCTGGAAGCAGATGTAGGTGTAGTTTTGCGTCAGTGTTCATTTCTGTCTTTGAATATGAGCACTTCGTGTAATGCTGTTACTTTTGCTCTCTGCACTCTGCAGGTTAGTTTGCCGGTTGTCAGACGGTTCGTGTCGTCTGTGGGCGAGAAGGCTTTAGGTTCAGATGTTATCCGAGGAATCCGACCGGAGCAGCAATTAGTCAAGGTATTTTGTGTGTTCGTCTAACAAAGCATTATGTTGTCTACACTAGTAAACGCATGCTGGATACTTTGTTAACTAAAAAACTGAAAAGGTATATCATGCGATGCCGTTAAGGAGTTAAATGAACCACCGGAGTTCGTTTGCAAATTGCAATAATGATTTCATATATTTGACTTTGCTTCTATCTACAGTTAAGTAACTGCATAATTTCTCAACTGAAAGGTTCTTTCCTCTCCTGAGGGATAAAGGAACACACTAGCATGTAAAATGCTGTAACACGCTTAAAGAATTTCACTATAATGAGAATGGGACGATAGTATCTTATGCTTCATTGATATGGTGAGTTCTTTTCAAACTAACTTATTAATCGGTTTGCTAGATTGTGCATGATGAACTTGTTCAACTGATGGGTGGAGAGGAATCAGACTTGGTGTTCGCAAAAACTGGCCCCACAGTCATCCTACTGGCAGGTCTGCAAGGTGTTGGGAAGACTACTGTTTGTGCAAAACTTGCATTCTATCTGAAAAAACTGGTGCTTTCCTTGGCCTTTATTTTCGACAATCTTAATAGGGCGTCAATACACGATAACCTGTAGATACTTATACCAGAGTTAGGTTACAGGGGAAGAGTTGTATGCTGGTCGCTGCAGATGTTTACAGGCCTGCTGCCATTGATCAACTCACTGTACTGGGTGAACAGGTACTTCTTTGATGAACTTACCTTTTATGTAAGATGTAGTGTGTGCAGCTGCAACACTTAACTGCTTATGAAATCAATGTGTGTTCGGGTTGTTTTGAAACTGAAAGGTTAAAGCTACCAAGTTGCATTTGCTTTCTGAATGCAATACTACAGTTTGGGCCTGGCTAAAAAAGGCATTCACAGGTGGGTGTGCCAGTTTACTCAGAAGGAACCGCGGCCAAACCTGCAGAAATAACCAAGAATGCCGTGGAAGAGGCGAAAAGAAATAATATTGATGCGATCGTAGTGGATACTGCTGGCAGACTGCAGGTCAGACTTCTCTATATTTCCTATGTTTTTAAGGCGACGCCTTACCGCCTTAGGGAGGGGGGGCGCTTTGGCGCCTAGGCGACGCCTAGGCGGGCGCTTTGGACGCCTAGGCGCCCAAAGCGGTCGATTTTCCAAAGCGGAGGGGGAGCGCTTCGACGCCTAGGCGTCGCCTAGGCGTCGCCTTAGGGACGCCTTTAAAACATAGTATATTTCCTTTACATTTTCAGTTTACTTATTGTAAACTACTGCCTGATAGAACTGTCACCATTGGTGGTACCTGATCATCTTTCTGACATTTAGATTGATAAAACAATGATGGTTGAATTGAAAGAAGTAAAGAAGGCAGTTAATCCTACAGAGATTTTGCTTGTTGTTGATGCCATGACTGGCCAGGAAGCTGCAGGTATCTGTCTGTTTCTTGTTGTTACTATTCCAGTGTCATTCATAAACATTTAGGAAATCAGCTACAGGTCTGAAATTTGACTATCTGACAAATTCTATAATACTGTTGTTATTCCTAATGTGTTCATAGAGCTGGAAGTTTTCTGCTAATTCTATATAATTTTGGATGCTTTAAAGAGCACTTTCCTGCAAAGCATCTGGCTTTAAAGAGCACTTTCAACTCTAATGCTGCACAAAATAATGTCTTCATAATTGTTACACTTTTTCCTTTTTTTTTGTGCAGCATTAGAGTTGTAACAACTTACACTACTTCCTTTATTTTGTGCAGCATTGGTCACAACCTTCAATATTGAAATTGGTATATCCGGTGCTATATTGACTAAATTGGATGGTGATTCCAGGGGTGGAGCAGCACTTAGTGTGAAAGAGGTTATACATGCCAGAAACTTTTCTCGCCATCATATACGCAAATGTTTAGGATCTCCCACATCACGCTTTTACTATAAGTTGATATTTGGAGCGGATTATTGTCTATATATATTGACCCGAGCTGTGAATTCCTTTTGAAATAGACTTATTGGTTTAATGGATTTGCCTGCTCCTTTCACTAATTGTCGATCAGTACATGGCTGGTTCGGCAGTTGCAGATGCTAGATTTATTACTGGCCTAACTTTTGCTCTGTGTGCATCAGTGTTCCACTGTATATATTATTATCTTCTTCACTTGTCACCAGACTGCCTATCTGCAAACATATTTCACTCAATCCGAAAACCTTAGTAATACCTGTGAGGTGCAAGTATTGTGATAATTTTTTTTCCCTTTCTTCTGCTGGTATATGTAACACCATCACTACCTATCGCTTAATCCTCTATGCAGGTGTCTGGAAAGCCCATCAAGTTTGTTGGGCGAGGAGAGCGAATGGAGGACCTTGAGCTTTTCTATCCCGACCGCATGGCACAACGTGTTTTGGGAATGGGAGATGTCCTTTCATTTGTTGAAAAAGCACAAGAAGTCGTAAGTAGTTTCCTGTAAGACTGCTCTTCTGGTCTTGTCTGAAGCAATATTTTGATGGTTTCTATATGCTGCAAATAGGTTCGCCAAGAGTGGAACTGCAGAAGAAGATCATGAGTGCGAAATTTGACTTCAATGACTTTTTAAAGCAGACACAAAATGTTGCGAAAATGGGATCCATGAGCCGTGTAATCGGAATGATTCCAGGCATGAACAAGGTACATGAACCTGTGGGATTGATTCATTCCTTCGAACTGATGAAATAATTGCCAGAGCATGACAACACTTCTCGTTCTAAATAGGTTACTCCTGCACAAATCCGGGAAGCTGAGAAAAGACTTGCATTCGTAGAGTCGATGATCAATGCAATGACAGCTGGTACATTCCTCCTGAACTACTGCTAAACATATGAAGATTGTAGTAATGGTGATGGCTCCTTATGTCCTTGCATCTAACCCTTACACTTTGCAGAGGAAAGGGAAAAACCCGAGTTACTGGCCGAATCACGCGAGAGGAGGATTAGGGTAGCAGAGGAGTCCGAGAAGACAGAACAAGAGGTTTGGTCCTACTGTTATCATCGTATCACAATGTTTCACTTATTCAGCATATTTGGCATTCCCCTCCATGGAGCTTAACAGGCTCTGCCATTTTCCACTATTAGGTGAGCCAACTGGTTGCGCAGCTCTTCCAAATGCGCGCGCAGATGAAGAAATTGATGGGTATGATGCAAGGGCAAGAAGCAATTGCAGGAATGGGAGATCTCATGGACTCGCTTAATGCTGACGAGAAGGTAAGGACGATGCCTCTGGCAGGGTGAATGAGCTTCCTCCTGCCAGTTTTTTTTTCTTCTTTTTTTGCCTGGACGACTTACAGTTGCCTGGATTTTTTGGTGTATATTGTTCAGGCACCTCCTGGCACTGCACGGCGGAGGAGACGGCGGAGCGAGCCGCCACGGCAGAGGGAGCTGGATGCAGTGGGTGGCGCCAGTAGGCCTTGAGTTGATGTGCACTGGAGCTGGAATTTTTCACTGAAAGAGTTGTGGATTGGCATGTAGATACGGGTCCTGCTGCATGATGTAATATTTCCTGTACATTTTGGCATACCGACTTTACAATTCGTGGGAAATGTGTTTAGTGGACGGAACATGGAGTTTGAGGGTGGAGGGAATTAATTACCGGTCTTAATATAAAGTACATCATTAAGTTGAAAAACATATTCGAAAAAAAAAACTTTAAGCACGCCAAGACTATATATGTTCAGGAAAGAAGGGAAAAGGGTTCTACCGCCGACCACAAAGACATTGGCCACACAACGATAGACATCTTCATAGTGAGTTGGGGGTGACCTAAGAGTTGTGAGCTTAACAAAGTTACTCGAAAAACTTTAGCTTTCATGTAGCATCTGGCAGGCGATTCTACGCATGCTATCGTTGTTTAATTTAGTTTCTACTTGCAAAAACACTAACATGTTTTGTACTCTATGTCCAGGGTCAACCAAAGATAAATTCAGTGTGCATTTTGAGTTCCTGATGATAGATAGTACTTAGATCCCGAACCTGCAAAGAACTTTTTATTCTGTCTTTAAGAAGTACGCATTTTTTTTTCGAAGGAAAGGCTAGCCGCCGCCTCCTCCTTTCTTCATAAAAAAGTTAGGGTTTCTGCCTCCCGCCGTCGCCGCTGCAGGTCCGCCTCCTCTCCGATGGCCCTAGGGTCATGGGGGCGCGGTGGATCTCGGCAAAGGCCGGCGGGAGGGCTCCGTTTTTAGTCGTTTCTTTCAGTTTTGCTAGGGTTTGTATCCTGCTTAGGAAGACGAGACGGGTGCGGCTCCCTGAAGATGGAATAAAGGTCTCCCCTCCTAGTCCCCGTTCCGGCGGCGCGTCTAGCACCGTTGGTGGGCGTGTGGAGGTGTGTCTCCGGCAGATCTATCTTTGGTGGATTTGCTCGGATCTCGTCATTGTTCGTCTACGTTCGCGTGTCTTCGGATTGGATCTTTCTGGTCTACGTTATTCTTCATCTGCGGCGGTTACTGTTATGGTGCGCTGGTCCTACGGGGCCTTAGCACGACGACTTCCCGACTGTCTACTACAACAAGTTGTGCCCAACTCCGGCGATGGAGGGGCGATGACGGCGGCGCGCCTTCGGCTCGCTTCAATGCTGGTAGTCGCCGCTAGGTGGTCTATGGATCTGGATGTAATTTTTATTATTTTTGGTACTCGTTGTACTGCCATGATTGAAGATGAATAGATTAGAAATTTTCTCGAAAAAAAAAGAAGTACACATTTTTTTCCCATGCGGCTTGAGAAATTCTCACATGTGATACTGTTTGCTTTATACAAGATGCCGCGGCAATGCATGGGGTATCTTCTACTTACAAATCATTTGGACTCCACAATAAAGCAACAACAATACAGATGTAACAACAATGGACCTTTTGGTTAGCTATTCTGTTCTACTCCCTCCGTAAAGAAATATAAGAGCATTTAGATCACTACTTAAGAAATATAAGAGCGTTTAGATCACTAAAGTAATGATCTAAACGCTTTTATATTTCTTTACGGAAGGAGATTCTTATGTAGTGATCTAAACGCTCTTATATTTCTTTACGGAGGGAGTAAATGATAAGCGTTTGGAAGAGCAGAAATGAGAATTGCTAAACCATCAAGACGGAAGGGAAAACGCAAGCCGTGATCACAAAAATACTCGCTCCCGGTTCATTGGAACTTACACAGAAAATATACATCTGATACACAGAGCAAGGCCGTATACACGTATGTTGTCACTACTTGCAAGCTGCAGCTAGAGATCTCAAATATGTCCGTACTGGGTTCAAGTGGCAGTGTCCCCCATGGCCAGCCACATCTCATCTGCGGTAACCGCGCATCGAGTCCAGATCCCGCTGCCTCAGGTTGCCGTACTTCCTCCTGCGCTTACCAGTAGCCACGGCAGCCTGAATGATCACAGTTGCGCAAAGTATAAAAACTCATATACAAGACACAATAACGACATACTCCCTCCGTCCGGGGAAATACTCGTCGGAAAAATGGATGTATCTAGACATATTTTAGTTCTAGATACATCCACTTTTATCAATTTCTCCGACAAGTATTTTGGGACGGAGGGAGTACTATGTAATATGCCCCTGGTCTGTTGACCGGGTGGTGCCTTGACCTGTTCTTCCGCTTTGATGGACTCCGCGAGATTTTCCATGTCGGGTGTATCTTTTCCTTGCATGCCAGCCATCATCTTCTGCATTCGAGTGCGCATTTGGAAAAGCTGCGATACTAGTTGGCTCACCTGAGAGCAAGAAAATGTTCAGTTCAGCTCCATGAAGTTCTGTGGTTTATATACTACTAGATCGAATGGCGACGAAATGACAACTGAACCTGCTGTTCTGTCTTTCCAGCGTCCTTAGCCACTCTTCTCCTTCTCTCGCGTGACTCAGCAAGTAACTCTGGTCTTTCCCTTTCATCTGAACATAGTCAGGATAATTAGTGCTGGGCAAATGTTCATGACAACACTTCGTCGAAATTATGCTCCAAAAAATTAGAACTGGTACGTCTTTTCATCGATGAACTTGGCACGCACAACTGGCATTGTCCCAGCTATGGCAACTGCAAAATGTTTATTTTGATGGTGGCCCTCGATTCTCACCACACCAAGTTATATGCCACATGAATGATTCCCTCGTCAGACTATTTTTTTTAAGCATAAAAATTTCATGAAAAAATAAAAGAAGGAAAACCATGCTTGTTTCCCAAAGCAGGATAATTTCAAACTACAGCAACTTAAGATACTACCTGTGGACATCAGAACACCAACCAAACAGATAGTTGATTGGCAATGAACTTCAGTCTATATATTCACATCATTTCATATTTTGTAAGAAAGCAAGTACGAACTACTGGCAAGCTACTGAATCCACAGATCAATATTAATCAGAATTGATCCCAACCTGTTATTAAAGGCTTACACATGATATGTAAGAAAATAAAAATCACTCTCCCTAATATAGCAAGTGTTTGGAAAGAACATGCAAGACCATATCTTCATGATGTGAACTGAGTGTAGATTATACATACCAGCAGTCATCACATTGATCATTGACTCCATAAACTTAACGTTTTTCTCAGCTTCACGGATTTGCGCTGGAGTAACCTAGTAAAAACACGGCAAGAGTTGTGGTCTTAATAAGTAATAACATAAAATTTATATCTTGGGGCAAAAAGTCAATTAGAAGACTGGTTCCAAGGAAATGTAATAAATTAGGTACAGAATTCATATTCGCACCTTGTTCATGCCTGGAATCATGCCAATTATACGACTGAACGAACCCATTTGCGCGATAGCTTTTGTTTGCTTCAAGAAATCATTGAAGTTAAACTTTGCACTCATAATCTTCTTCTGTAATTCCTCAGCATCTTCTTGATTCATCTACTTGCAGCAGTATGTTACACCATATAAATATGACATTATTGTTTAATGAAAGACACAAGGAAAATTGCATTTCACAGAAAGATACTTACCACTTGCTGTGCTTGCTCAACAAATGAAAGTACATCTCCCATTCCCAAGATACGCTGCGCCATACGATCTGGATAGAAAGGCTCAAGATCCTCAACACGTTCTCCACGGCCTATGAACTTGATGGGCTTTCCAGACACCTGCAGAGTTCTTCATTGTCATATTTTTCATATGCATGCTAACAAAAGGAACAAAGACAGAAAGCTTGCTAATATAGCCATAACACACGTAAACACTGAACATTTATTATTTAACCTTGCTCAATCGTGTACTTTTCTGTTATACTGTACAAAATTGACGACGAAAAACCTATACAGGAGGAAAAGGTAAATCCTGAGAATAAGTAAAATTAACTTATGTAACCCCTCCATGACATACATTATTTCATTGAATTTATGGGTATATCAACTCTTGTGTCATAATGCCTTTTTGCCAGTTATTGAGAATTGAGAAGTCTAGAAAGATCAAATAAAACCAAAATGTATGGACACAAATAGTGCCTTCTATGCATTACTAGAAATCAGTAGTTCGTTTAGACAGAACTAAGAATCTGGATGGTCACACCAAATGGATAAAGTTTTTCAAGTCGAGAGACCTCTTTGATACTTAGTGCTGCCCCACCTCTGGAGTCACCATCCAGTTTTGTCAGTATAGCACCAGTTATACCAATTTCAACATTGAAGGCACCGACCAATGCTGATAAAAAAATCAGCAAGGGTAAGTAACATTCTAGCAGATGACGAAGAGTTTAAACAGATGAAGAGTTTCAGAATAACAAGTTCTGCTACTACAGGGAGCGTGCTCCTGCTCCTTTGAAAAGAACACAATAAATTGTAAGGAAAACTGAACGAAGAGAATTGGACCAAACATGGCTCTTATATACATGTAGACGAAACATGACTAATATGGGACCCCCAAATCCAAATACATGGCATGTATACATGTATACATTAATATGTGCTGCAATAGTCAAAGTTGAAAATGCAAATTTCTTTTTCTGCATGCCAAGCAGTGCATTAGGTAAGTTACTTACACCCGACCAAGTATAAAATGATGAGTCTAGAGCCCTAAACTACTCATAGAACAACAAGCAACAACAAACCTGCAGCTTCTTGGCCAGTCATAGCATCAACCACAAGAAGAATTTCTGTAGGCTTCACTGCCTTCTTTACTTCTTTCAACTCATTCATCATAGCTTTATCTACCTAATGATAGAAAGATTAGCTGGTATCGGTTGTGCTGGGTAAACACAGTTGAAGTAACAGAAAGACACACTAGCTCCGCCATTTAAGGCTAAATAGAGTACCTATCAAAAAGTATCATATCTCATTTTTCACACCAACTCGTCTCATAACAGATTATCTTTACATTTAAGTTTAAATATACTATACTAGAATGAACATTTTTGGTTGAAGCACTAGACTGAGTTTAAAACAAACATACACATTTAATCCAAAATAAACATTTTAAAGAGATTTTGACCTTTTACAGACTTAAAAATTACTAGTAAGAACTAGTGCAGTTCGATCATATATCTAAAATTCCATACTTCGGCATGATTATGATCTGGTGCCCAAGATCTGTGTACAAAATTAAGTCAGCTGGTTAAAACTGGTACAGGACTGACGTACAGTTTTTTAGAACCATGATTGTAGCAAACCGAGGAACATAATTAGATGATAAGAGTTACCTGCAATCTTCCAGCAGTATCCACTATAACTACATCGGTCTTCTTGCTCTTTGCTTCTTTCAAACCATTCTTGGCAATCTCTGAAGGTTTTGCTTCCGTTCCTTCTGAGTAAACTGGTACACCAACCTATCAACATTCAAAAGTAACTGTAGTTTTAATTTCAAAATTTGAAAAAAAACAGATATGCATTACTGGTAGCTCTACAGTCATTTGAATCGAAGGTAGCCACAGTTATTAGCGAGAAAACGTTTCCAACTGAATACGACTGTGAAAAGATCAATTTCATTACGTGTACCTTTTTACCCAGAATAGTGAGTTGGTCAATAGCAGCAGGCCTGTAAACATCTGCAGCAACCAGCATACAACTCTTCCCCTGTAACCTGAATCTGGTTTATAAGTACTGATGGCCTGGGCTCTTAGGAAAATGCTTAAAGAAGAAAGCTCAGGAATGCACCATCTTTTTCAGATAGAAGGCAAGCTTAGCACAGACGGTAGTTTTCCCAACACCTTGCAGACCTGCCAATAGGATAACCGTTGGGCCAGTTTTTGCGAATACTAAATCTGATACCTCTCCACCCATCAGTTGTACAAGTTCATCATTTACAACCTACATCATTTAACTCTTGTTAGTCCTCTAGGGCTAGAAGTACATATAGTATTACATTGGGAAGACCACATTCAGTTAGTCCAAAATAATCAATGAATTCCTCAATTAAGGTCACTTGTGTGCACAATAATATGCACCCGTCAATAATGGCTGTGCAAACTATACATAGAAAATTTGTCACATATGCAATTTATAATTTTCTAGGATCCTCGGATCTGAGTATACCTTCACTAACTGCTGCTCAGGTTGGACACCCCGGATCACATCAGTGCCTATAGCCTTTTCAGTAACAGACTCGATAAAACTTCTTGCTACTGGCACACTTACCTGCAAAGTAGGGCGCGCATTAGATTGTGAAGACAAAAAATATATAGAAATATAGCCCCACAAGAAAGCCATGTACTGAAAGAGATGAGACATACATCTGCCTCCAAAAGTGCTCTTCTAATATCCCGCATCGGTTCAGCAATATTCTCCTTTGTCAGTCGATCTTGAACCATAAAAGGCATTTCCTTCATTATTTACAATCATGATTTATAGCAAAGCTACAGAGGGTGCAGTCAGCGTCGCTGATCAAGCATGAAAAATGCATACTGCATTGAATTGTTTGGACAAAAACGATCCACACATTACAAAGTTACGCAAAAGAAAAGTTATCACTTCATAGATAGCCAATCTAGAACTTCACAGTTGCATATAATACTCTGTCAACCTGATACACGATTCGACACATCACACATATTTTTGGGAGGAGAACTGAGTGTGACTCTGTTCAACACATTGCAACCAGAGCATTACGTATGACAGCAACAAAATCCACACATGAGGCGAGAAGCAAACGTGTAGTGTATGGGTAAACTATCAGAAGCGAACTCACCGACGCCTCGCAGCTTGTTCCACGCGGACTCCAGCCCGGTGGTGAGCTGCCCGAACATCTCCGCCCTCACAACCATCCCGCTTCCCCGCCTCCTCCTCCTGCATCCCTGAGGGCGTCCCAAACCGTAACAAGGTAAGAAAACCATCCGTTCAAAAAGAGATAAGGTCGAGATCTTTCTCGGAGGGAAGAAGCTAGGAAGTTGCAGATGCTCAGAGCGAACCGGGAACGGGGAAGAGAGGGCGCGGAAGGCAGCGGGACTTTGGGCCCCGCGGAGGTGGAATGAGAGAGTGGGCACGCGGCGGAGGTGAAGGGAGGCCACGGTGGGCCTGGCCGGCGAGCGCCGGGCGCCGGCGGGAGACGAAGAGAGCGTGAGTGTGGCAGTGGCCTCCATTGGAGAGGGCGGAGCGTTCTGCGGAGGCGAGGCGAGCCAAGCAACGAGGAGGATAAGAGGAAGTTGCTCTAACTGGGCCTTTCTGGGCACGACGGTATCAGAGAAAAAATGCTGACCATGATAGCCCATGAAACGGCCCCGTCATCAAGTCGAGGGCCGTAGCCGATAGGGGGATTCTAAAAAAAAGTCGATAGGGGTAATTCTCAAAAAAAAAAAAAAACACACACACAATAGTAGTGGAGGGGGAAATATCAGGTGCTCAGTGCTTCTGCTTCCCATGCTTGCCCAATTTTAAAACTTTAATTTTAAATGTTTAAAATATTTTTTAAAAAATATGAATGTTCACAAGGAATGTGACTACAACCCCTAAAAGATCCAAGTCAAAAATCAAAATATACATCGAGAAACAAAAAAGACAAATTCAGATGTGAATAGCGTCAAATGGTGTTTTTGTCTTTTTATGACACTATTCATGATAGATTTCATATCTTTGTTTCTCAATGTTCATTTAGAGTTTGGACCTGGGATTTTTAGGAGTTGTAGTCATATTCCTTGTGAATATTCATATTTTTTTGATTTTTTTGACATTTAAAATTGTTTTTTTTAAGTTAGAGGATGGGGAACACCCAAGGATGGGAGCATCTGATATTTCCCCGTGGTGGACGTACAAATACAATCAATTATTCGTGAGATCAAACACTCATGCAGCAACTTTGAAGCTCATAATTGAGCTAAATTTTCTTTATCTTTACAAACTCATTGTCGCTTGTGGATGGGAGTGTGAGTGCCACATGATGTGATCATGTAAAGTACCTGTGAACAGGCGAAATGACTTCCGTTATTTGCGCTGTGAGTCTGGGGGCGATACAGTGACGATCTCGCAGAGGAGAAAATCCCACCACATCGATGATCGAACGGAGGAGATCAGCGAATGAGGGAGAGATCTGTGTAGATCAGAGAGAAGGAGGTGGATGTGAAGATCCCCTGGGAATAGATTCAAGGATCAAGACAAGAAGAGCAGTCTGCAAAATAGCAGAGAGGTGAATACGCAGAGTCAAATTGAAAAAGGGGAACATAATGGATCTGAAGGCAACCATTGATGCAAGTTTGGAAAGAATCAGGGGACAATAGCAGATGAGGATCCAAATCATATGTTTGTAGAAAGAGATCAGTCATAAAGAGGGGGTGTTCACGAAATATCACATACTCGAGATCCTCCAGACCCTAGCAGAGGAGAGGAATCGGGTATAGCTGATATGACATCATTACACTGGTACACCAAGGTGCTATACAAACGGTTTTTAACCCCTTTTCGCGACGATATTTGGAACCATCGCCAAGTGAGTGACCGCGATAGGGAGGTCCTTCCCACACGACCCAAAACCCGTCGGGGATAGGGAACCATGATGGATACAGTTGTCCATATAAAACTATTTCTGATATCTCGAACGTCCCAAACGCTCCATCCTTGCAACTCGTTTGTGCTCGCATTGCCACCGCAGTCGGTTTTCTATGGTGCTACGTTTATGATGCGCGGCCCATCACAAACAGTTCACGATTATAGAGCGTGTATGATAAGCAGACAATCACACACATTCACTTTTCCCGAACCGTATGCGATAACTAATTAAGAAGATTAGTTAATCATCGTACGAGTGTCGGATAGGATTACGAAACGTTGGACCATCGTAGCTGTTGGGAAACGTAGCATGCAATTTCAAAAAAATTCCTACGCTCACGCGAGACCTATCTAGGAGATACATAGCAACGAGAGGGGGAGAGCGTGTCCACATACCCTCGTAGACCGAAAGCGGAAGCGTTTGACAACGCGGTTGATGTAGTCAAACTTCTTCTCGTTCCGACCGATCAAGCACCGAACTGAAGGAAATATGCCCTAGAGGCAATAATAAAGTTGTTATTTATGTTTCCTTATATCATTGTAAATGTTTATTATTCGTGCTAGAATTGTATTAACCGGAAACTTGATAGATGTGTGAAACATAGACAAAACACAGTGTCCCTGGTAAGCCTCTACTAGACTAGCTCGTTAATCAAAGATGGTTAAGTTTCCTAACCATAGACATGTGTTGTCATTTGATGAACGGGATCACATCATTAGGAGAATGATGTGATGGACAAGACCCATCCATTAGCTTAGCATAATGATCGTTAAGTTTTATTGCTATTACTTTATTCATGACTTATACATATTCCTTTGACTATGAGATTATGCAACTCCCGGATACCGGAGGAATACCTTGTGTGCTATCAAACGTCACAATGTAACTGGGTGATTATAAAGATGCTCTACAAGTATCTCCTAAGGTGTTTATTGGTTTGGCTGTTGGTAATATGCCCTAGAGGCAATAATAAAAGTGTTATTATTATATTTCTTTGTTCATGATAATAGTCTTTTATTCATGCTATAACTGTGTTATCCGGAAATCGTAAATACACGTGTGAATACATAGACCACAATATGTCCCTAGTAAGCCTCTAGTTGACTAGCTCGTTGTGATCAACAGATAGTCATGGTTTCCTGGCTATGGACATTGGATGTCGTTGATAACGGGATCACATCATTAGGAGAATGATGTGATGGACAAGACCCAATCCTAAGCATAGCACAAAGGTCGGTTAGTTCGTTTGCTAGAGCTTTTCCAATGTCAAGTATCTCTTCCTTCGACCATGAGATCGTGTAACTCCTGGATACCGTAGGAATGCTTTGGGTGTATCAAACGTCACAACGTAACTGGGTGACTATAAAGGTGCACTACAGGTATCTCCGAAAGTGTCTATTGGGTTGACACGGATCGAGACTGGGATTTGTCACTTCGTATGACGGAGAGGTATCTCTGGGCCCACTCGGTAATGCATCATCATAATGAGCTCAAGGTGACCAAGGTGTTGGCCACGGGATCATGCATTACGGTACGAGTAAAGTGACTTGCCAGTAACGAGACTGAACAAGGTATTGGGATACCGACGATCGAGTCTCGGGCAAGTAACATACCGATTGACAAAGGGAATTGTATACGGGGTTTGATCGAATCCTCGACATCGTGGTTCATCCGATGACTTCATTGAGGAGCATGTGGGAGCCAACATGGGTATCCAGATCCCGCTGTTGGTTATTGACCGGAGAGTCTCGGTCATGTCTGCATGTCTCCTGAACCCGTAGGGTCTACACACTTAAGGTTCGGTGACGCTAGGGTTATCAGGAAGACAAGTATGTGATTACCGAATGTTGTTCGGAGTCCCGGATGAGATCCCGGACGTCACGAGGAGTTCCGGAATGGTCCGGAGGTAAAGTTTTATATATGGGAAGTTGTTAAACGGGCACCGGAAAGTTTCGGGGTCATACCGGTATTGTACCGGGACCACCCCTCCCGGGGGGGCACTTGGGCTGCATAGGGATAGCAGCCATCCCCTAGTGGGCTTGGCGCGCCCCCCCCCCTTGGGCCCATGCGCCTAGGGTTGGGGGGGAAACCCTAAAGGGGGCGCACCCCCCTTGCTTGGGGGGCAAGCCCCCCACCCCTTGGCCGCCGCCCCCCTAGGGTTTTCCCTAGAGGGCCGGCCCCCCTTGCCCCTTCCCCTATATATAGAGGGGTGAGGGGAGGGCTGCAACACACCACAAGCCAAGGCGCAGCCCCTCCCCTCCCCAACACCTCTCCTCCTCCGTACGTGCTTGGCGAAGCCCTGTCGGAGTACTGCTGCACCAACTACACCACGCCGTCGTGCTGCCGTTGGAGCAATCTTCCTCAACCTCTCCTTCCCCCTTGCTGGATCAAGAAGGAGGAGACGTCCCCGTCCCGTACGTGTGTTGAACGCGGAGGTGCTGTCCGTTCAGCACTTGGACATCGGTGATCCGAATCACGTTCAAGTACGACTCCATCATCACCATCCCCTTGGCAAGCTTCCGCTCGTGATCTACATGTGGTATGTAGATGCAAACTCTCTCCCTTGACTCGTTGCTTAGATGAACTCATAGATGGATCTTGGTGAAACCGTAGGAAAATTTTTAATTTTTTGCAACGTTCCCCAACAGTGGCATCATGAGCTAGGTCTATGCGTAGTTCTCTTTGCACGAGTAGAACACAATTTTGTTGTGGGCATAGATCTTGTCAACTTGCTTGCCTCTACTAGTCTTTTCTTGCTTCAGCGGTATTGTGGGATGAAGTGGCCCGGACCAACCTTACATGTACGCTTACGTGAGACCGGTTCCACCGATTAACATGCACTAGTTGCATAAGGTGGCTGGCGGGTGTCTGTCTCTCCCACTTTAGTTGGAGCGGATTCGATGAAAAGGGCCCTTATGAAGGGTAAATAGAAGTTGACAAAATCACGTTGTGGTTATTCGTAGGTAAGAAAACATTCTTGCTAGAACCCAATTGCAGCCACGTAAAAGATGCAACAACAATTAGAGGACGTCTAACTTGTTTTTGCAGCGATTGATCATGTGATGTGATATGGCCAGAAGTTGTGATGAATGATGAATTGTGATGTATGAGATCATGTTCTTGTAATAGGATTCACGACTTGCATGTCGATGAGTATGACAACCGGCAGGAGCCATAGGAGTTGTCTTTATTTTTGTATGACCTGCGTGTCATTGAAGAATGCCATGTAACTTACTTTACTTTATTGCTAAACGCGTTAGTCATAGAAGTAGAAGTAGTCGTTGGCGTGACAACTTCATGAAGACACGATGATGGAGATCATGATGATGGAGATCATGGTGTCATGCCGGTGACAAGATGATCATGGAGCCCCGAAGATGGAGATCAAAGGAGCTATATGATATTGGCCATATCATGTCACTACTTTATATAATTGCATGTGATGTTTATTATGTTTTATGCATCTTGTTTACTTAGGACGACGGTAGTAAATAAGATGATCCCTTACAAAATTTCAAGAAGTGTTCTCCCCTAACTGTGCACCGTTGCTACAGTTCGTCGCTTCTAAGCACCACGTGATGATCGGGTGTGATGGATTCTTATGTTCACATACAACGGGTGTAAGACAGTTTTACACAGCGAAAACACTTAGGGTTAACTTGACGAGCCTAGCATGTGCAGACATGGCCTCGGAACACGGAGACCGAAAGGTCGAACACGAGTCGTATG